CATAACTTATTGTTATTATAATAAAATATCTGACAATTTCAGATTTGTACAAGGAACGAAAATACTTCAGTTACCTGATTTTGTCTCAATAATGATATCATTCTAATCCTTTTGATTTTTGCATCTCATGAACTGTGCTGGGTGGGAATAATATCAGCTCTATAGTGCAATACAGTATTCATAGTGGGTACCATTTATAGAAGTTTTGATACAGAATATATGATCAAAACAAACAAACTTTCCTAACTTCTGTAAGTTTCTCCTTTATTTAAAGGAGTGCATTAAGATCTCTAAGCCTGCAGTCTTCTGCACACTTACCCAGAAGAAAGCCCCATTGGACATTGTGAAACTTGCTAACTAGTAATCATTTGCAGGTTGTACTAAGATGTTTTCCTCAAGTTGGCTTCCAGCAGCTAGAGATATAGTAAACCTAAATTTCAACAGAGCTCATTTGATGTTTACCAGTTAGGTTTTATTTGGTCTAATTAAATATTTAGTTTGGTGGGTGATAGGCTGGATATTAATAAGAGACCAAGAATCACTATTAAATGAAAAACTAAGCATCTAATTTCCATGAAATACTGTTTAGATTTAGCGTGCTTCCAGAATTAGGATGATATAGTGCCAGCAAATCATTGTTTCTCACTATAAATTATAACCTGAAGCAAAGTAGACTTTCTACATTGAAATTCCACTTTTTCTGTGACAAAAAGCTACTATATTCCATTCACTTATCATCTGTCTTACCTATCTTGTCTATTTTCTCTGTCTGTCAATCTGACTGTATCATCTATCTTCACCATCAATCATCATCATCACCACCATCATCTCAGGATCAGAATATGGGATTATTTCTAAAAAATTCAATTACTTGCTACAAAAATGATCTAATGCAACTATTTAAATATATAACAAGGTATGCCAAATCTTCTAATTAAATAGCTAATCTCTGTGTTGTAGATTTTAATAAAATTTCCTTAGAGAGGGAACAAGTATCTCACAGCTTCCTTTGAGAAGTTGTTGCAAATGGAATAACCAAGAGCAGCGTTGCTTTAGAGATCAGTGGTTCCCAATGTAGCTTAGGGAATGTTAGGTGATACAGGGCATGAACACCAAAATGAAAGTTCTTGAAACATAATAGCGAAAAGTTAACTAGATCACCAAATTTTGGCACATTTACTTTAAACTTCATAGTATGATTTCAGCCATTTATTTTTTTTAAAAAAGAAAAACATTTAATTTTGAAGTTTTCTGGATGCTTTAAGGGTCATATCTTCTGATACTCACAAGCATTACAATGCTAGTCATTGGCTTATGTGGTGCTCCACAAAACCATTGCTGATAATGTATCTATGTAAAGGAAAATATTGGGAACTATTGTTTTAAATCAAACATATGCTTTAATCTGCCTTGGGTATTTTTTAAGAACAACCAAATGAATCATGTGTTAAATGACAGAACTTTTGAGAAAAGGAACTGCACTATAAAACATGAAATGGCCTTGCAGTGAGAAATTCATGGCAAGGAACACAAAAATGAAAGGCATTCCCAAATGTCATTCTCCTACCTCAGTAACAAATCTTCCTAACTGTCCTAATTTTCCCAGCCAGCACAGCTTCAAATAGATATTGCTGCTTATTTATTCCTTTCCCTAAAATGTGATTTTTTTTTAGTTTAAAAAAAAGGCAGGAGCACTACTAGAAAACACAAGGGTTACTGGAGGATGACTTTGTGATGTTAATTCCTCATTAAATAGGAACGAACAAGACATATACAATTTCAGTGTAAACACGTTGTCTGGAAGCAGCTTCAGGCTGGAAAGCTGAAATGAATAAAATTGCCTATCAAGGCTGTTTTTAAAGTCATGATTATAATTCTTTGCTATTTTGCAAACACAAAGAGTAAATAATGAAGATTAAAATAAATAAATCACTTGACAATCTCTTAAATCTTCTCACTGAATGGGCAATAAAAATACCTTTCTTGTGCATTTAAATCAGGGTAGCGCATTCTGAAAACATATTCTGCCCGAACAATTGCCTCAACCTAATTAATGTTTGACTGATCAGAATTAAGCACTAGTGCTAAGAATAATTCTTAAAAGAGAAAGACAAGTGTTTACGTTAGGTAAAAGAATGGAAACCTGGATTCCTCATAGATTTGCTGAATTACAGCTTCCAACATCTTTCATCATTATCTATGCTTCAGGCAGCAGTTGGTGCTGCAGTTCAGCAATGTCTGGAGGGGTCCATAATTCTCAATTTGACCCCAGATCAGTAAGATATTGGATCTACTAGGCTTTGTCCTTTAGATAAGAATGGAATTTCTTGAAGGAAAGAAATGCTATCTTAAGAGAGCTAATCAGAAGGAAATATGTAGAAAATCTCACAGTTATATAGTGGCTGTGTTCAAACACCATTAAGTCATGGTTTACAGAATAAATCACAGTTAACTAATTTTATATAACACACCAAATCATAAAACATTACTAACGATCCACATCTTCTGAATTCGCATAACAGTGTAAGCTTGATAATGTTGTGTAAACCCATCAAGTATTTTCCAGCCAGAGACTACAGCATTATTAAAGGATCCTGGAATTTTTCTCTAGTCTAGTAGAATTATTCCTGCTGAAATAGGACACTTTTGCCAATCCACTGAATCTATGCAGAAGGGATTGTGACATTCTTGCCTTTATATTCACACATCTCACATCACATGCACATGAAATTCAAACAGTATATCCTTAAACAGACTTTCATCTGGGCATCACACAGACGACCAATGGATGCAACAAAAAAAAATGGGAGACAGTGAAACCAAAGTATCCATGCTGTGCAAATCAAGATTCACTATTAGTGAAATATGCCATATTCCTAGGAACATATATTAGAAGAGCTAGGGATCTTCAGAGGCTTGCCAAAAGTTGGCTTACATAGATACCCATTTTATTTAAAAAAAAACCCACCAAAAACAAGAACTGAGATAGAACACTTTTGCTTTTAAGATTAAAAATAAAAAAAATGAAAATATCTTCCTCGACTACTTAGTGCTAGGGATTAATTTATTTTTCAGTGTCTATGCTTTGGTCAGTTTCATTTTCCAACTGGTCCATTCCACTTGGAACTCTTAACACTTGAAAAAGAAAAAAAAAGTGAGATAACAAGTATATTTTGAAGGAGATTTTTAACAGCTTCACTTCCTACAGTGACAGAAATAAAGGCATACCCTTTCCCTTTTCATCTTTGCTACATTCCCACTGTATTCTCTAAATCTACTTTTCTCAGAAAAGAAAACAACAAACTATCTTTTTCAGACAATCAGTTTTAAGTGCAACCAACAAATAGTAGTTATTTCTTTGCTGTGGGAAGACTAGACACCATCTCTAGAGATTGCACTGTCTATCCTTCCTTCTCAAAGAGTGCAGCCATACACTTTCAAATGGCTATATTATGCCATAATTAAATATTATCTATGACATTGCTAATGAGAAGCATTCCGACCTCTCCCGGTCCTGCTAGCTTTCTTTCATCTGTTATCTTCCATGCATGTAGAACTACTATGCTCAGGTTGACAGGGAAGTCTGGGAACTACAGCCCTAATTCGGTGAAAGGGCAGGAGGGTAGAGGAAAAACTGTTGCATGCCATGAATAATATTTGGCAACAGGGAAAGGGTCAAGCAGTCCTCTACCAGCATTTTCTTTTTAGGAACAGCACATGTTGAATGCCAGCTGTTCATCCTTATTAAGACAGAAGATCAGCGCTTGCTATACTTCCCTCTTCGTTGGCTCTTTTTTAATTAATGAAAAGCAATATATGGAAGCTACTTCTGGGAGCAAAATAATACTTGGGAGGGGGACCTGCTTAAACTTTTCCTTCACAAATTATGTGGTGCTGGCTTCCAGCTTGACTGGCTACAAAAAGCGTTGGACCAATTCATAGAAATAGTGGGGATTGATGGCTATTAGCCTTGATGGCAGGGTGACTGCCTCAGAAGGCCACCTGCTGGGAGACTAGTGGGCTTCCTTGTGCAGTTGATTAACCACTGTGAGAACAAGCTGCTGGTCTAGATTGGCCAGCGGACCAATCCAGCGGGTCACTGCTTATGCTCTGGTATGTATTTACAGCTTCATTTTATCCAACAGGGAAAAATGTAAGCCACTCTACAAAAAAAAAAGCAGAAAGGAAAAAACCCCATGCTTCCTCTATTTTCTGTCGCTGTTCCTTTGCCTTCAATCACAGCATTTAAAAAATAAAAACTGTGTATTGATGGACAGGAGGGAGTTAGGAGGGAGAATGTTGTTAATTAAACAAATAGAAGAAAGGAATGTCCAGACAGCAAATGCAGCTTGAAAAGAAAATAAAGATAGCTACATAAAACAGAGATGGATTCTTTTGCATCACCACCCTGGCTCCCTTGGGTATCTCTTCCTTTACCAAAAATGCAGTCCAGCATCAGGAATATGCATAAGTTAGGGGAGATCCCAAAACATATGATTAACAGAATGCATATTATTTTCAGTGAAGTAAATAGAAATAAATACTTTATAAATATAATCTCATACTACTCTTTCTCTATCAAGTAATTTGTAAAATGTCAACAGTAAGTTATGAATTAGCAGCACATAATTCTATCCCTTTTATCTCTTTAAATAGCATTAATTTTCACTCTTGCAAATTCCTCTCTTTAAATTGAACAACTGATTTAGGAATTAAAAAAAAGAAAAAAGCTCTTGCTTTGTTAGTAGTCATAAGCCACCCAATAATGAGAAGAGTGGAAGATCACATATGTGCAAGAATTCCAGGGAACATCACCCTTTTAAAATTACATAAGGGAAATGAGTTTGCCCAATGAAGCTGTAACTCATGATGGATCACTCTGTGGCACAGGCATCTGAGGAGATGAATGACAGGAAAAATCCAAATTTCAGATGGGGATCTTCCAACAGCACCCATTATTTCACTTTTTCTGTTTTTTTGAGGTGAGCAGCTCTTTTAAGTTAAATTCTTGCCTGGGTTGTTGTTCGTCTCGACAATTTGGACCTGTTGGAGAAGCCAAGATAGAACAAATGTAAAGGCTTGAGAAAAAAAAACAGAGGCATTACACTTCAGACTTCCATCCAGGTGCAGGAATCTCAACTGAATCAGAGGTTGCACATCTGTAATGGTAGTGTAAATGCTTTACTCTTCTTCTAGAAGAGCCTTTTTCAATTGGTTCCTTCCATAATTTTAAGTCAGCTATCCAGCAATGGGAGCTGTTGTGCAATACATCTTAAGCAAGACATCTTGGGAAAGCCATTCTGAAGAGGAGCCTTTTAAGGCATTCAGTTACCTTATTGATCCAGCCAGGAGAGGGTTAAATGCATATAGCCAATCATGCATGTCCTTATCATTGCTTGCTTGCAACAGAATTCCACGATGTTCAGTGCACACTGCAAAGGTGTTAGGCGTCTAAACCAAATAAAAAGTTGCTAGTTAGACTCATTAATAGAAGAACAGGATGACTACGGTATATAGTGACTGCAACTATAATGACTACAAATTACAGAAATCAAGCCATGTGATCCCAGACCCATATTTTGCTTGCATACAGTCTTAACAATCCATATTGCAACAGACCTGGTTTTGAAATATTTGATGCACACGTTCTTTTGCTAATATGGGACTTGCAACCTACATTAATCAGAATGAGTTTGGTTATTTGTTCTCATCCCCCCAAAATCCATTCATCAAATTATTTATTGATATATTTATTATAAATATATCTTGCCTTTACTGTTTTTTATAAATAACTCAAGGCAGCAAACATATCCAATACATCTCCTCCTCTTATTTTTCCCACAACAACTAACTACCCTATGATGGGAGTTGGACTAAAAGAATGCCTGGCCCAAGGTCACCCAGTCGGCTTTCATGGGATTAGAACTCACAGTCTCCTATCTTCTAACCTGGTTCCTTAACCACTAAGCCAAACTGGCTCTTAAAATGATTACTGTCAGTTTAGCAGTATATTTATCTGACAGTCTAAAGCAGACATGTCAAACACAAGGCCCGGGGGCCGGATGCGGCCCGCGAAGTGGTTTCATGTGGCCCGCGAAGCCATCCTGGAAACAGTGAGGGAACGGTCCCCGCTGCCTTGGCCCTGGCCCAGGCCAGCCGGGAGCCAATGTACAATTTTGTGGTAGCCATTTATGCTGAAATGCATTCAGTCTTAGCTCCACAAGGCTGTCTAGAAACAGCGAGGAACCAGCCCCTGCCGCGTCAGCGCCACCCCCTGGGTGCATGCTGGGGAGGTGTCACCCTTTGTGAGGAATGAAGAAATGGACCATGCCTTGGTGCTTGCCCCGGTCCCACCCCCTTCTGCCAGAGACCCTCAGATCTGTCCCAATCCTGCCCAGGCCCCCACAGGCACCCTTGACACGAATGATGTAGAACTGGCCATGCCCACCCAGTAGGCCATACCCACTCCATCCACGCCCACCAGTAGGTCACACCCACCTTGGCCACACCCACCCGGCCCCCCGAGGGCAACCGCAATGCTGATGCAGCCCTCAATGAAATTGAGTTTGACACCCCTGGTCTAAAGAATCATCTTGGCCAGTGATTTTCTACCTTAAACCTAGGTCCTATTTACAGTGATTGCAAAAGCCACCTTATCATTGTATTTCCTAGAAAAGAAAGGTGAAGGAAAGAAAATAACCTTCCAGGGAAGAAATGGCAGCTTGAAAACAGCTCCATGAAAAGCAGAGCCAGAATTCACCGAATACATTAAACTAAAATTTCCTTGGCTTGTTTATGAGTCAATATATGTGTGAAAACTGACTCGGAATCTTGAAAAGGCAAAGCATTCGTTGCAGGGACACTTATTTTTACAAAGTTTGTTCTTACTTTTAGCATTGCCTGCTGGTCTTCACTGTACTCCACCTGAGCTGATGAGAGATTGAGGACTGCTCTCTCCACAGAATCTTTGTCGCCGTTGTAGATGTAGACATAGGGGCGTCTCACAACCACATAGCGCTTCACCCACCCATTTGTATGGGGTTCCAGAAAGTGTAGGTAGCCTTTTCTGGAGACAATAGGGCTGTGGAGGAGACACATTGGCATCCCGCTTAGTAACCACATACAAACTTCACAATGTATACTCAATAATCAATCCTATGGAGCAATTTTGTGGCCACTGGCACATCTGGAAGACTGATGGGTGGGATGGGTCAATATAATTGGAATGAGATGACTCTCTGATAATCTGGTCCAGCTCATAATGATTGGAATAAAATTCACAGTTTTGGCCAAGTTGCTAATTTTTCCACTTGCCCATAGTTTTTACCTGACCCGAATCTCTTGAATATCAGGAACCAACAGGCGCTGGATTTCTTTATCATCCTCAGGCCCGCAGGCAGGGGATTTCTTCTTCTCTCCTTCAACTGTGAGCTCAATTTCAGGACTTTCTGCCCTGGAAGGGAGCTGCAGAGTTCTGCGGAGAAAAGCAGGCTTATAGCTTCAATTACCTTTTGACCAATGGTCTTTATTTTTCATGGTAAAACTATGCACCTTTGATACATAAACAACCCCGACATGTTTTAGCCTTGCTACCTTTCTTACCTGGCTTCTGTAGCACTATAATGGCCTTCAATCAGGGATGGACAAGTTGAAGAGGGGGTCAAAGTAGCACTACCAAGGCCTGACATGGAAGGGTCTCTCAGCAAAGTCACTGACATTTCAGATAACTGGGTATAAAAAGAATCTGTTACTGGATATGCTTGTCTGAAAACAAATATCTCCAAATTTGGTTGCATGCTTCAGCACTTTTGCAACTAGAGTATATATTCAGGACCTTCCCAGAAAACAGGTACCCTAATGTCTACAAATTATGCGTATTTATCATTTATTCTTCTAAAGGCAGTATATGCAGTAAAAGAGAAAAATATTATGAGTTTAGGACATCAGAATGAAGTTAGAATAAGCCCTCTAGGGCAGACATGTCAAACAAGGCCCACGGGCTGCATCCAGCCTGCAATTGGCTGATATTTGGCCCACGGGGATGTCCTAGAGACAGTGAGGGACTGGCCCCCGCCGCCCTGGCTCCAGCCCTGCCCTGCCCGGGAGCCCTCAAGGCGCGTGCACAGGAGGTGGTGAGCACAAGGGGGTTGACGTCTGGCAGCAGGGGCTGCATAGCCCACTATGAATACTGGCCCGCCAGCAGAAGTGCTGCTGCGGCATTGGCCGCACGTGAAGTCGGCACATGATGCAGACTGCTGGACACGCCTACTCGGTCCCATCTCTTTTTCGCTGGAGAGCAGGTCGCTACTGGTCATCTCAGCCCCCTCATGGTTCTTGTCCTTGGCCCGCGGGTGGAGCACATTCCCCTCGTTTACCTCGGTACCCATCACAGCTGCCAGCCACTCACGCAGGTCCATTACGCTGCCGCCCAGATCTGCAGGCCCGTCCAGCGCGAAGGAGGTGAAGCGGTCAGCTAGGAAGCCCCGAGTAGAGGTGGTAGAGTACGTCCAGGGCCAGCAGGCAAAAGGCCACCCCAAGCAGGGAAAGCCGGATCCCCATCGGCATCATGGCTGCCCAGCACCAGCAGAGATGGGGGGGAAGGCATGCAATCCTGGCTGGGCCTGGGTGGCCATGGCGCAGATGGGGATCTTGCTTTCCCCATTTGTGATGGCCTTTTGCTTGCTGGGCATGGGCATGCTCTACCACCTCTACTCAAGCTTCCCAGCTGGCTGCTTCACCTCCTTTATGCTGGGCAGGCCTGCTGCTCCAGGTGGCGGTGACGGCCTAATGGACCTGCACAAGCTGCTGGCGGCGCCAGCTTGAGGCAGGGCAAGGTGCATCGGGTGCATGAGGGGAACAGGCTCCACGCACGGGCCAAGGGCAAGATCTGCAAGGGGCCCGAAGAGATGACCAGCAGCGACCTGCTTTCCAACTGCAAGCAAAAACATGGGACGGAGTAGGCATGTCCGGCGGTCTGCATCATGTGCCTCCCCCCTCACCTCCCCTACTCCGCATGCTACTGGAGGGCTGGCCCAGTATTCACAGAGTGCGTCGGTCGAGGGAACAGCAGACTGTGGCTGCTGACGGACACTGTCGGCCCCCATGTGCTCGCGGGCCTCTGTGTGCGGGGCAGCAGCCTCACCTTGCCTTGCCCCATGGCAACAGCACCCTCACCCTGCCTCGCCTTGCCTCACCCCGCAGGACAAGCTTCCTGCCCACCATCCCACCCACCACAGAACCCTGGATCTCCCCCAACCCTGCCCGGCCTCCACAGGTGTCCCCCCATCAAGCAACACTGAGATGGCCACGCCCACCACGCCCCCGCCCACCCAGTCAGCTGTGAGCACTGCAGCCACCCTACCCAGTCGGCCATGCTCACCCCCCCCCAAGGGCATTACAATGCTGATGTGGCCCTCAATGAAATAGAGTTTGACATCCCTGCTCTAGGGTAACTTGTAATTTGTTCCACAACACAAAGTAGAAGTTCAGGATGAGAACATTTCAGATGCAGTGGGATTCCATCATTTCACAGTTATCAGAATTTGATACTTTACTGTATATAGATTAGTCTCCTTTTTTGCCCCAAAATCCAATATATCCAAAGCTAAATGTATTAGCTATATTTATTTTATTTATTTATTTATTTATTTTATTATATTTATACCCCGCCCTTCTCCCGTAGGACTCAGGGCAGCTTACAGCCAGTTTAAAAACAGTTTAATACAATACAATACAAAGTTTTAAAAAATCATTAAAAATAAATATTTAAATCGGCCGCTTCTACTAAAATTTGGCTAAAACCAATTTAAAATACCCCTAGGCCAGTCCTGCCCGCTGAAACAACCAAGTCTTAAGGGCGCGGCGGAAGGAGGGGAGATCCGGAATCACCCGG